TGATACTAATACTTAGGGCGCAGTTATATGTCTGGTGCTATTGTGTGAGCGCTCCGTCGCCAATACATTCGCGACGGGTAGCACGTGGACCCGAACTGTACCAGTACGTAGGGAGGTCCTGCTACTAGTGCTGAACCTGCCTCCTGTCTTTAGAACTTTGATCTTTATTTAGCCATAAGGTAATAATCTACAAGCAATTAAAACGGTTAGGATGCTACCGGTATACCTCAGTATTACAAATAAAAATACTTTACACTACACTTGAAGGAAGCATAAATATATTCATTAAAGATATATGCGCTTACTTAAGGTAAATGTAAATTGTGATCATTACTGCATAACGAGGTCAATAAGTTTTTCCTGATTGCCTTTACACTAGGGTTCAACAAAATCTAAGACAAGTCTTTCCATCTTTGTTCAAGTTTATTTAGGTATATACATTTATTTAAGGACTAGACAATATTATCATTTATAAGATACTATAATTACCAGATGACAAAGGTCTTTATTTGAGTGTTAATCCTCTGATATAAGAAGCATTTGTTTATATTAAATAGCGAATAAAAAATGTTCACTATTGTTCTAAAGCTTGGCACGGAATCCCTCACCGGTGTCTAACAAGCACTTGGCTAATTTTCATTACTAGTTTATCTACAGTGAAGGTAAACACTAAACAGGTTTCCTATACAGGCAATTAACTCATTCTATTAGGTTCACTACAGTAAAAATGACAACGTTTATTATGAGCCGGTGTCGAGATCGATATTAGTTAATTCTACTTAGAATGCCGAATTCAACCAAGAACAGGTTGTTTCTCGTATTCTTTTTTCGAAAATGCGACCATGAAAAAGTCGAAATTCGGCGGTGTTTTCGAAAACCAGTTCTGTTCTGACGTGGCACTGGCTGCAATACGGCATGGATAATACCTCTAATCTAAATTATTCGCTGCGTTCTTAGAATGAACCCTAGGTGTAATTTTAGTTTTAAACATTTCGGTAATTAGGTATGTCAATTATGATCTCTCAATTATGAGCGAAAACTGAATCACCGTCATCAATAAATACTTGTCGGGTCTATCATTACCTGAAATGATATTGAGGTACTATAAAAAAATCGGTATTATAATCAAATTAAACCTACAACGAAGATTAAGTATTTTTTGTAAACGTATACCTACATAAATACAGCTACGCTTCGCTTGACGGAGCCTTTCAAAAGCCGTGCTCATAGCTTTTCACTGGTAATTGAGCATCGTTGATGTGACATTATTATGTAATGAGCACCGACAATAAGACGCCGAATCACCCCCTCACAGCTCTCACGCCACACGATACCGTACACAGAGAAACACCGTGTCTGTTTACAAGGAAAATCGTCGACAAAACTTGAACACAGAGTCAACAAGAGCATTCCAAATAGAAAACGGTTACAGGTTATTGCAAGGTATTTCTCGCGTGAAATAGAGCGCGCACCGTCGATTATATTAATGAAAAGCATCTTGAGGACATTATCGAGAGTGACGTGGCAACGTTACACCAGGTATGAGTTGACACCCGGGGGAGGGACTACAAAAACACAAAGGAAGAGATTCCCAATTCGTCTGTACTTTTTTTTTCGTATGTTTGTTACGCGATGTCTCCGTCAATTGTGGACCGAGTTTCAAAATTATTTTTGTGATCGAAAGGGTATACTTCCGAGATGGTCATATTACCACCAAACTAAGATCTGACGATGGGATCCCAAAGAAATCGAGGGAACCCTCAAATTTTACAACCGCGACAACGTGTTTTAGCTTTTTTCTCTATCTGTATAGGTTTGCGTTTGGTAATCGTTATCTCATGTTACTGAGCTGATGATGGAAACCTTTGGGAGTTAGAGGATATCTCTTTCATAATATAATCATGTATTGATCTTGTTTTATTATTCTTTCAAGATATTTGTTAGGTGTTTGTTTTGGGTTACAGAGGGCACAAGAAAGTAATAAATGAGATAACAAAATATATAGACATTTTAAAAGCACACTTACATGACATTTTAATACATTTTAGTAATGTTCGTTAAATGAAGATCAAGTAACGTAGAGTTTATACCTAATGATATCTATAGCGAGTAATATTTTAAAACAATCTTTAAGTAGATCAGTTCTAACGAACACCTAATTTACGTATAAAGTCGCATGTGTTTCTCATGATTTGACGGACGATAAGTGTAATTGAGTGAAGCACGGTACAAGATGTCCTTTGTAATCGTTCGAGTAATGAAATAGATGACACGCGCAAGATAATCGACGCGAGTGGCGACTGTTCGCATCAAACAAACGTGCTCCGTGACGTGGACCGAATGATCCCTGCGATGGGGCGTTGGCAACCCTTTCCCGTTAATCGCTAGGGCGATATCAATCACAGCGCTGCTAGTGTTAGTTGGTAAACGTGTTAGCTGCAGGTGAATGGGACAGATAAGAAATTTCCATAAAGTATTAGGAGTTAGTAAATGGCTTTAAATGTACGATATCTTTTAATCGCGTGGATTTAGATGTTGTTTCTTTTTTGTTTTTATTACGAAATAGCCATAAACTTAAAACAAAATTAATTACTGTTTATTCAAAAACAACCTATGGCTGCCCTTCCACCTGTCGCGTCACCAACATTTATGACCAAGACTACGTACGTAGGTAAGGATAGTGTTCTGTTATTGGACCAATTGGACGACTAAACATTGATTTCTATATCATAGTTGACTCTATAGAATCTATTAGTGCCTAGTATGGGGTTTATCAAAATGTATGAAAAGGTATCTACAGAGTCGTGTACGAGTGAGTGAAACTGTCAAATCAAACAAAAATCTTTCTTTTTTTTTAAATGAGTTTACATATTATATTACATAACATATTATAGGGTTTAGGTTCTTCTGTTAAGTTTGAATAACCTGTTATAGGAAAGTCACCTCTCATCCGTGGCGTATACTTTAGCAATGTAATAGTAACACTTATTGTACAATTGTACAATTATATTATTGTAAAGTTACATAGGCTTTGATAACTGGTTACTATCATGCACGCTGTATGATATTATACCACCTTAGTAGCCTAAAAATCCTTTGATTTAGGGTACCCTCTCTGTGTGTTGAATACAAGCATGTACGCATTTATACTACTTCTAAATTCTGGAATGTCAGTTATTTAAAGAATCCAAAAATGCCTGTCATTAGACTCAGTTGTGCAGAGCGAGCGACGAGTCCATCGCGCACTGTTTCTTGTCGTGTTATAGAGATGAATGACGCATTCATTTGACATTTACAATGGCAAATATGTGAGCGGTGGTGCGTGTATCACTCGCCATACATGGCCAATATTCAATGCACAGCAATGTGTCACACGCGGACATACGAACATAAATACATACATGGAGTATTACCAAGGTATATTCCATTAATTCCTTTGTAAGGAACTTGGTAGTCAGAGCTTTTGCGTATTAAAATGTTAACCTATGCCTCCTGATCGTATATAACGCCTAGGTTTTGCGTGATTCCGTTCAAATAATCTCACAAAAATGTTTTTAGGATAGCATTAACTGATATTCCATCGCTTCTTTATTTGTTGCGATAAAAAGTTGTCTAACGAATGATACCGACACGATGAAGTTTTTTAGGCTGTGGTAATAGTGTAACTCTTGCATACATGCACATTATAGCGTAATGGGAACATAGAGTAAATCTTGAATATCTCAGAATATTATAATAGAAAAAGTCTCTGATGTTATAAACATTATCATGAGGAGCTGATTTTTTGGGGGCCGGATTTTTCAACAATATTAAAGAACGGTAGATTATTATTTCTCAAACATTACACGTGGTGATACACCAGCTAATTGTATTCCAAACAATCCCGAGGGGAGCTTAGTATTAATTGTAAGGAGAGCGTGTCAAGGGTCGTCCCCCGCGGCCCGGACGAATCGTCCGATCCACCACTTATTAATATCGCACTCAATGATTTATTGTTCACCCGTGAGGGCCGCTCTATGCCACACATTATTAAATTTCATTAACGTGAGCCTTGTGCCTCGGCACGGGCTAGGCGTATGTAATGGATTTCATTTCTAATGTTCTTTTTCAAATTTATTATTAACTAGCTGGTACCCGCGACTATGTTTGCGTTGAATTTGAAAAGCGCTGCCTTAGTGGTGAAGTACGGTATGCGACTGCAGTCCCTGAGGCCTCGGGTTTGATTCCCTAAATTTTATAGGGTTTTTCTGAGAAGAAAATAGCCTAAGTTACTCCTTATATAGACATCTGCCTTGTAGTAAAATATCATCAAAATCGGTCCAGCAGATGTAAAGGTTACCCGGAACAAACAGACAGACAAACGAAAAATATTATAACTGGTTTTAATGGCATAGGCATAGGTAGCATGCAAATGACCCTGTGAAAACCTATTATTTTGACATTACAAACAGACACAGCAGTTTTATTTATTGGTATAGATGCACGTATAAACGTGACAAAGGACTTGATGCCGTAGTAATTTCCTACCAGTCAACCTTAGGGCGAGGCATAAAACATGGTAGATGCACAGAAACTAAAAATAAGATTTTATGACAAATTTAACAAAATATTTATTATATAATACATATGCATACATATGAAAAAGAGTACTCATATAGGTAGGTATATTTCGTAAGAACAATTTTCAAGACATACCTACATATGTAAATTAATTTACAAACCTTTAACAAGAGATTTAATGTTTCGTTCTTACTGCTTCGTTACTAAACGGTACAATTGTCTATAATGCTTATTGCGATTACTATCGCAGACCCCAGTAGCAGTCTTGTGTGTAGATCTATACACAACACATCGATACCTGTGCACTCCGTCCTTTTCACGATTACCTATAAGTGAGATAAACATCGCGTGGTCAAGGAGAGACGTGTCGCTACATCGAGCGAGTCATTATCGGCTCAGAAACAGGTTCCCCTTGGAAACAGTTGTTTTATTCGTATCGTTTATACTTGTTTCACGTGATTTTGGTGAACCTGGTGACAGTGTAAGACGAATGCATTGAGCGCGGGCACCCCGCGGCGCGGCGGCGGCGCGCCCGCCTGGGAACTCGCCGGACAAAAAACTCCTAGATCTGTATCGAGCAAGTCCGCATCAATCTTCACGAGGAGGCAGGTCGCGACCCCCGCGCACCCCTCCGCCCCTCGCCCCTCGCCCCGCAGGCCCGGGGGCACGAGCACCGATCGTTTGTCACTTGCGCATATAAATAATGATTGAACAACGACAACAGACGCAACATGTAACAACAATATGGCAGATTGCTTAATCACGCTCAACAGGACACCTCGGCGCCATTCTATTAGAATCAACTCAACTTTCTTAGCTGTTCAGCTTAACTCTGTCTGTTATTTGCCCATAGCCCGCATAAAAGTATTCTTTTGGCTGTGTGATTGTCAATTGGAATAACAGCGAGTAACATCTTATCTTGTCTATCAGTTAATATTTGGATGTATAAATGCAATAAGTCAGGACACCGACAGGTGCAGAGAGTTGAGACAATCTATGCTAAGAGGCAGTGCTGCGGCCGGCCAGAGGCAGGCGCGCTGGCGAATCGATACAACATTGAAGGCACCAGTTTTTGTATCAATTTGTTCAATTGTTCGTCGGACGTCGCCCGTCGGACGAGGTAACGTGTATCGCTTCATTTCGCGACCACATTCGTTTGCTGTGCAATTTAATCGGACAAGCGCAACGGTAAGTTCTCACAGAAATTCAGAATTTTAAAAATGTCCGCGGGTAAGCTTTTGCATTCGATTCCCATCGGCCGTGTGAGATGTCCACAGATAAGCACGATAAATTTAATTAAATGTCTCGGAGAGGTCCCACGGACGGGTAAGGTGCGGGCACGCGGGGCGGTGGGGGCTGCGGTGCGGGGGCCTGCTTGTGGACAGAAGTGCCGAGGGCAGGCAAATTTGTTTGCTCCTGCGTTCGGTCCACTTGTATTAATTAAGTGCGGCGCGGCTCAAAGACGTCGCCGCACAACACCGTCAGGACGAAGGCTACGCATACAAAAAAAACATCGCCAGCGCAGGCGCAGTGGCCGGACACCCACTGTCGTTTGTTATTTACAAGTTGTGCACGACGTGGTGATGTGCGGTTCCATTCTATTCTTTCTCATTGCTTAGTCGTTGCTCTAAGTTGTATACTCATACTTTCTACTGAAGGTTCATTGTTGAATTTTTGTTGTTTTATTGGTAAAGTATAATTAAGCAAAGGTTGGTATGGTAAAGCTCACGCCCGTTTTTTTTTTGCCACCCACAAGAGTGTTGATTGAGAGTTTCAATTTCCATATTCTACTTTAGCTGCAGGTTGGCATACTGGGTCACCAGTAACATTGGCTGCAGGAGTAAGAGATCATTAGAGTAATGAGTAGAACAAGCGCAGGCGACGTCCGCCGCGGGGCGCGCGCCCTCCTACCGTTACCTACCTACCGTTCCTTGCCCATGATTTATCTACTACAGAGCTAGCTGTGACACCGCTCACCCCACCACTTGCTGATAACTGTATAAGTAAATACCTTTTATGAAAAAGGTCTTGTTCCTTTTATAATTTTTACCCAAAATAAGCAATCAAGACGTGTATATTTTTTTTTTAAAAGTACTACACAACATACTACTGCGTCTCATAATACTTTGAAACAAATGTAGCTGTGACACAAAATTGAACTAATAATAATAATTTGACCCAACCTGAGCCTCTACTGTGGTACCCAGACTACCGATACACATACTCATGTATTTCTAAGTACGTACATAATAAACACAAGTTATATAGCTCATGACACAATTATTTGTCCTGGGAATCGAACCCACGACCTGCAGCTCAACAGTGAAGATCATTAACCACTTTAATCACTAGACCAAAAGATCAGTCAGTTTGGCTTAAAATTCTTGATTTGTCGAAAGAATTTACAAAATTAACTAACTGAGAAAACACACTTACTAATTAAACAAATAATATTGAACGTATCAACATAATACAAATCAAATTTGGGTAGTTCAGCACCGGGTGATAAAGTTTAATCCAATCGTGGTTGGAAACGTTTCATCAGAGCTGAAGACTGGCCGTCATCTAGCCCTGATCTTAATCCGCTGGCTTATGAATTGTGGTCAGTTTTAGAGAGCATGCTCTAAACGCCATGATAATTTGGAGTCTATTAAACAGTCCATAAGGTTGGCAGTAAAGAATTTTCCCATGGAGAGAGTGCGTGTTTCTATTGATAACTGACCTCATCGTTTAAAGGACTGTATCAAAGCCAATGGCCATCATTTTGCTTCATACATTCTTATGGTATACATATATATTAATGTATAAACTAACACATATTACTGTAATAAATGTTTTATGCAATAGACGAAAAAAAAATCCTTTATAACAATATTTATGGCTAGATTAAATTCTGTGTAGTGACGGATTAAGAATACGGAAGCTCACCACCCCTATTCATCCCGTGGGTGTCGTAAGAGCCGACTAAGTGCTCAAATTACACAGGACAACAGCACTGCAAAGAGAAGGAAAACTTGAAACGAACCGTATACCAACCTCTCTGATCAGCGTGGTTTGGTAGGCCAAAACCCAGCAGTGGACTATTGAACGTTGTTGGTGAGGTATTTACACATATACATATACACACACACTCACACAAATATTTACATCTCAACCACCTGCCATAGTGCAGTGTGATACAGGTATGTCCCTATCTATGTCCCTATATATAAATACAGAAAAATAATACTCAACTATTACTACTTATAAATATACTCAATGGTTTGTCATTCTAAATAACAATACAGGTACCAATGTATGATTGCTGTATATACTCGTATGTAAATATATTTTTAAATAGGTATCCAAAATAGAAGAACTCAACATACGATATAGAAAGCTATATTGGGTGCTAGGCAGAAATAGCAGACTATTAATATACAACAAGCTTCTAATTTAAAAGTCTATATTGTAACCCACCTGGGTGTATGGTATTCAAGTTTGGGGCAGTGCAGGTAATGGAAGTATTATCATTTTACGAAGAGTGCAGAATGCTATACTAAGAAAAATAGCAAACGTCACTTGGTTCATCACCAACTCTGAAATTCACACACAGCTAAATATGAACACTGTGGGAGAAGAAATTCAGGCTGCCACGCAAATATACCAAAAACGGCTAGAAAACCAACCGAATGCAATTAAGGCGAGTTTTATTACCTTATTAGCATAGGGGAAATAAAGAAGTAAGGAGTGGTTGCCCTCACAGGAGCACGCACTCGACCTGCCAAAACCTAACACTTATCTACTTATAGTTGGCTACTGATTGCAGAATTTAGGTATTTAGAAATTAGGTTTTATTTTATTTTTTTCATAGTATCTATATTCAGAGAGAACTTATTGGTCTGCCTGAAAGTTAAGTTTTTTAACTCCGTTAAAAATAATAAAACTATCTACCGTGAGAAAGGTGCAGAAAATTTTTTTTTTGTTTGGAAATAACACATACTTTAACGAAGTCGGCAACTTTGCGATTCCTTACCTCACCTGAGTATCCCTGATTCTCTGAGTTGTATGTTACGAAAACAGTAATTGTATGCTAAATAAAACCTAAAATACACGCTCAGTTATTTCGACACTTAGTTATTTCGAGAGCCATTTTGAAACTTAATTATAAAAAACTACGCAATTATATTTTGTCGGTATGCTTAGATAAAAAATTAACCTCCTTCTGTATATTGTTAGAGTCACATAAGACGAGTGCATATTGTAAAGACCAAGTTGCCAGTAAGCAAGTATGATTTGACAGTGGTCGACATAGCGACATATGATCGGAATGTGGTAAAAACTACTCCGTTAACCCTATACCAAATCATTTATTATAAAGTATGCCTCAACTAACGTTAACAGTTACGTTGATAAGTACATATCTTAGACATACATATGATGACACATATGCTCATGTCTGAATAACCGAAGGGCAGGAGGGATACAAGAGCAATAGCTCAAAAGGTGAGAGTGAGGTGTGACGTGACCCGACTATTGCCAAGAGTGGTGTATAGGTTATTGACACAGTTGGAAGTGGTAGTTAAAGAATGAGTTATGTTAATGGGGCCGAAGCGACGGAAGAGACTATTGCAGGTGACACGTTTCGGGGGCGGAACGCAGTGTGCGCGCGAGCGCCTGCTACGTCACAGATATGTTTATTAGCGCGGTCGGGAGCCGCCAGGTGGCAGCACCGCCGCATAGATAGCTCTCTAATTTTATTGAGGGCCACTTGTAAACATTCGGAGTGTTCCGAGAACCGCGGTCCCTGTGAGCGGCCATCGACGTACGACAAGTAAAGCTCATTAGTTACATACATTCGAGTATCGATTCATAGAACGAATTCCGTTTCCAATAAGAGATGCTATCTCAGTTGTAATAAACATGTTGATGAGCTACTTGTGAGATTTGATTCTCCGTTTCATAGTCAAATCAGCCATTGTAGATGCCGCATGTATTATTTTTTAATTATTAACCTACTCGTAATCTGCCATATATGTCTTTTTTGTGACAAAATGTCTCTCGTGACTCGAAACTTTGTGTTATACATGCTATAGTCAAAGACCAAAAACGCTCATTGAACGAAAAAACAGCTCTCAACGCTTTAATTGTGGTCACTTCGAAATATCCACATCCCAGAATTTGTGTTAAAGTGCTTATAAAAACTCTCTCAACGCGTTGTGGCAATAAAAAAAAGCCATGACGTAAGGAAAATTATCTCTACTCCATTTTACCGACTTTAGTATGTTTTTTTTTTCCAAAATATTAAATAGTTCATCCGTTTCACAAAAGTAACGAACTTTTAAACTTTTTTCTATTCCAGTTTCAACCAAGTTTTTAGTGTCATCAATTTGCAAAACTTCATATCGTTTAGGACGGCATTTGTTTTGTTTCATTAAGTAACCATTAATTACATTCATATTTTTCTGTTTTAATGATAAAACTTCGATAAGTGCTTATTTCCATAAGGTACGTCATTTCTCTTGAAATGTCCTGTTTTTATTAATCACAGTTAGCGTTGAAATACGTGCACTCTAGATAGATAGACTGCACGGATGGCGTAGTGGTTTAAGCGGTCGCCACGCCGCTTCCTACTACGCCGAGTGTTGTGGGTTCAAACCCCACATGGGACGACACTTTGTGTGATCCACAAATTGTTGTTCTGAGTCTGGGTGTTCTTTGTGTCCGTTTCATGTATGTTTGTAAGGTCCCCCGCGACACAGGATTTATTCCTAATGCGGGAGTTGTCTTTTTAAAGAAAAAAAAGAAAAGAAAAAAAAAAAAACTCTCAGAAACAGAAAACAAATGAATAAGTAATTCTGCCGATGTTTTAATGCATTGTTGAACGTACTCGAGCCGATAAGTCAGAAACTGATGGTTTACACCAACTATTTCGGCTTTTCTTCATTGTCATAACACATTGTGGTCATATAACATGATAGCCACGGCACAAATTTCACCATGTGTTTTTTTCTGTGATTGCCATAATGCGTTATGAGCTTATCATAAGAACCATAACACTTAACGAAGTAGATGTTTTACGGTAAGCGCACGCGCAACGCGTCATGAGCTGCTTTTTCGCTCATTGTGCGTTGTCGGTCTCTGAGCGTAACATATGTATAATGTATATACGCACAATAATTGCGTGCCTGATATGAACACAATTCATCTATAATAGATATCTACTGATCGATAGGTGAGGCAATGGCGTGGAAGTGGTTGAAGGTGGGCGGTACAAAACGGGGGTGGTAATAACACTCGCCAGGGTGATATCCTCGATGGCCAAGTGGCAGTTTAATAGTTATCCGAGCAGCATTTGAGCATTAACAAGGACAATAAGCAATGAGGAATGTTTATAAAACACAAAGCAATAATAAAGGGTTATCTTGTCACGGATCGCGGGCGCGCCCGACGCCCGACGGCAACTACTTATTTATTGACATCAAACCGAACATTCATTAACTTTATATTTAAACGGCGTCGAGCGGTGACCTCGATCGTTTACCGACTTGCGCAGGAGACCGTCGCGTTGTAACATTCGGAACTAAATTATGTCTCTATTGGTATCGGGACATCGGTGGACATTTGTCTAGGATTTATGTAGTGCGTGCTGTGGGAACGCGAGGGCCGAGGGCACAGGGTGGCGCCCCGGGAGCCGACGCAGATAAATAATGACGTTTAATAATTGATTAATCGCGGTGCTCCCGTCGCCGCCGGGCCTGCGCGATACTATCGCACATACCTGCCCGCCGCTATAAAGATGAGTCGCTAATTAATTTAAATGAGTCGAGACCGCCTGGCGGTGCACAAAAAGTGTCGGGTCACCGGGCTGCGGTGCACGGGGCCGCACCGGGCCTCACTATCGCGACATCGCAGCATCGACACGACCGAATTATACAATGATTTAGATGATATCGAATCACAGTGATCTGTCCGACTCTTTACCGGCCTTAATACTGCGACCGCAATATTTTAATAAGAGACCTTCTCCAAATGTAGATACATCGCCTCCTGCCGGATCACCAGCATTTTTTGTTTATTCTAAATATATTTAATTCATTTAATCCAAACTTACAATATGATTATTTATTTTGTGCGAAAAAAGTTTTAGGGGCCACATTAGCGAATATTATATAGGTATACTGCGAGGCTCCGCTGTGTAGTTCTGCACCTGCAAATGTTATTAAAATATTAATTCATGCAATTATCGAGCCTTTCAATATTAATTATGATTGTCATAAATATTAACACCCGTGTATAAATACGTACATGTCAAGTCACGTCACATACCAACGAGTGTTGAACGTGACATGATTCATAGCTCAAGTGTCAAGTAGCGTCGGTCGGCGTACGTCGGCTAAACGATGTTATACAAGAGATTTAAGATGAGAGGTAAAAATAACTAACCCTTTATTGATTTACAACTATCGATGATTGTCGATAAACGATCAGGACGCGCTGACGATGTACGATTGAGGATGGGCGGCTAGACTACTACAGTCTAGACGCCCGCGCTAGGCGAGGATGTTCTCGCGAGGAGGGAATTCCCGTTAAATAATATTAATTATCATGGAACGCGAAAGTTTAAAAGTTAGAGGATGTTCTCGTTATCAATGTTAATAGCGGTTTAAACCTATATATCAATGACTATATTTTTACAAGAACTATATCAATTGGTGCGTCAAGTATCTATGTAGATTTCAAATATAGGTATTTGTATGAAGTCATATAAATAATACAGGGGTTGTATGCTTAAAACTAAGGCTCGCAGACGTATAGAAATGTTATATTGCGTTAGATAAACGAGGCCGGAATACATGTCGCTGTTTTGTATCAGTACTTATGCATTGTTGAAGTGCTTTTAAAATAAAAATAAAATGTTAGTCATCTTAGCCGGTAATAAGTCGATGTCAAATATTCGTCTGATACATAATTAGTCGCCAATGTGTCTGTGCGCGGCGCGGCATTGCCGAACTGGGCGGAGATATGGCGGCAGTTATATACGTACGTATATATACACAAGAGTACATTAATGTATCGCTGCGCTTATGAGCACTAATTGAAAGCTCGTAGATCAGCGCCGGCGCATCCCGACGCACAATCACCTATAAATTGACTACACCGATAGCGTAGAAGTTTAAGCTCGGCGCTTACTACTGCGCTGAGTGTTGTGGGCTTGATCCCCGCATGGGACAACACTTTGCAGGATCCAATAATCGTTGTTCTGAATTTAGGTGTTCTTTGTGTCCATTTCATGAATGTTTGTAAAGTCCCGCGTGACACAGGATATATTCCTAGTGCGGGAGTTGTCTCTTTTTGAATACAAAAAGAAACTGTGCTGAACACAAACCTCCCGATATGTTTTCGTCGGTCAATAGACCCATTACCAAAACATTACGAACTCTCATTTTTTTATTAAACTGCAACCTGCAACATATTTATAAGCTCAGTAACTTATGCTGCTGTCAAATGTTTACTTGCACAAGCATCGATACAGCAGGAAAGCTATATATAGGCGTATTTCATGCTTCTTTTTCTTTCGCAATCTGCTTAAACTTACACCACCAAAATCAGGGAAAATAAGGAGTAGGGAACCACTCAAGGAAGCATAAGTCATAGGCATTTTAGGAAACATCTATTTAAAGGGCAGAAGAGATGGCCGAACACATTCTTCTGGAATACGCAGGTCACACTAAATATCGGGTCGAACAAGTAGGTATATCGCTGTGAAATGTCCCCGAGGTCAAATGTGTCTTTAGAGGTTTCATAACGGAGACGAAATATTAATTTTAATATTTCTTGTCGAAAGCAAATACAACAGTTATAATTTTAGTAGAAGAGAATTTTTGATGAAAACTTTCGTCAATTTTGCTAGGATTTAATCATCAGGTCTTGACCTCATAATGAAATCAACTAGACATTATACCATTTAAAATCAATAAAGATTTTTGAAATTCTCTCCTAATGTTGCCGTGCCCGACAGGGTCCATTGTTACTTTCTACATTTATAAGACGTGTGTATACATTACGTGTATACTACGGAGTGCAATGAACGAATTGAATTGAATTGAATTGAAATTGTTCTAATTTCAATTCAATTCTTCTTCAAAGGCATCTTTGAAAGATCGGATAATAGATAGAAACCTACCTACGATTTGAAGATCTTCTCCTTTCTTTGTTGTGTAATAAAAATGAAAACCGTGAAGTGTTAGGCATTAATGCAAACTGATATATGTGGTAAAAACTGTTATATTTAATACATAATAATAATTCCATATTTAATTCCACAGTTTAAATAATTATGGTATAGCAAGGCGCGCTGGCCGGTATGCGAGGTGTGTAATAGGAAACTATTAGCGGTCATTAATACAGGAGCTAACGTTATAAATAAGTCGCACTCATTATATCAGTATAATGCCAGTTATAATGAGGTACACAACGTTTCCTTTGTCCAGCCGTCGCACGGTGTTAGACAGTGCATAAATAAGGCCCCCGCCCGCGCACCGCGCGCACCCCGCCCGCCTGCTACACAACTATATTTCACGGCGGGCCCTAATTAGTGCTAATTTATTGTACTAACATTTGGTATTATTATACATAACAATTAACAACGTGTGTGTGCGCTCACCTCGGTGACTGACCGACTTGACGTCCTGACAGTATCGGCCGCCGGACCTTTGCCAGACCTTACAGGACATAGGAGATGCAAATTCTGCTAATGCTTGCATGTCAGTCTAGTGAATAGTGATCCTGACTGCTGAACTGCTGATCCAAGACAAATATTGTGAAATGTACCTAAATATTAGGTCTTTCCCTATG